GTATGATTAATGCAAGTTTATCAAAATTGTCAATTTTAATATTATTATTTAGTATCAAAATTAACACCCAGAAACCATATTATTCATGTTATCTAATATTTATATACATTTAAAAATTTAAAAACACTTAAAGAAAATACAGCACTATAGGCTTAAGTATCACCCAAAACATGGCACCCTTGTGAGTTTGCATCCAAGAGCCACAGTGTGGGAATAGCAGGCCATGCCCTACGAATACTGATAGAAAGGAGTATTTAAATTTTTCCCATTGTTATTTAAGAATATTAACATCATGACTTTTTTTCCAGGTACAAATAAAAGAGTGGAATTCTGGAAGAAAGATAACATATGCAGTCCCCCCACCCAAAAATATATGTAGCTAAATTATTTTAGAAGGTCTCCAAACAGGAGAGAATTGGCTAGCCTCACTTCTGCAAATCAGGTTATCAGGAAAAGTTCAACCAGCAAATGCAAGCATTTAATTTAATCCCACAGATTCATATAAGACCAATATCCACGCACTAAAACAACAATATAAAACAAGCAAATAATTCAAATTGGTCTAGTAGTTACATACAAGAGAAATACTCATCTGGAGAATTTTGGGGTCTTAAGCGAGCTGCAGGGCCAGGTACCACAAACAAGTCTTTAACATTGCCCAAATATGCATCCAGGTAGACTGTTTTTTGGCAGTTAGCTTCTTCCATTCCTTGCAAAAAAAATATAAAGTTTTATGCTCATGGTAAATATGGACATATTTTATTGTGCACTGAGAAAAAGTAGCTCTAATTATCAGCAAGAAATTAGGTCTAAGACTTATTCGTTCATATAAATGAATATACATTATTTCGACTTTCTATATTGTTTCCAAATTCTTTATATGCAAGTCCCAACTGAACAAAAGTTACCTGTTTAGAACTCACTTAAACAAGCGGTCTTTATAAATAATGAACATCCAAGATCATGGGTGGGGAGTTATGACCTTTTTATAACCCAGCATTTATACATGGGGTTCCACTTGCGCTAAGCATTGTTGGTTTGGCATATGGCTTCAGTTAAACTATGATTATAATTTCTGTAATCAATAATCCAGATGGGTTAGAATGAAGTCCAGTAGTGAATTCATGAAAATTTCCTCTTAAACTAGTCTACATTTATTTAGAAGTTTTTTTATATTGCCAGACTACTTATCTTTTCTTTAAAAACAATAGTTCAAAAGACATTTCAAAAATGTTTTATGTATCCTAAAATCTATATGTTTTTACAAGACTTACCATGGTCAGAAATAAGAATAATATTAATGCAGTTGTGAAGCTTCATTTGCTTAAGCCCATCCATCAACAACCCAACCACTTTGTCTACTCTCTCTAGTGCAAGAATGACCTGCAAATTAAAAGTGAAGAGAGACAAAATAAACAAGTTAAGCCACATTCCCCCCCAAAAAAAATGGTCGTTCCTCATAAATATTCTGCTGCCAATGAGAAAGCATCTGTCAGCAATGTAGAGTAGGAATTGGTTTTCCATTAGCTTCCCTCACTCTGCAACACTTATCAACCTTTAATTCTGCTTGATATAGTTTGGAGAGCTCTTTATTGGAGCAACATAGCTGGCTGATACTTTCCAACAGCAGCACAGATCAGTTAGATATCCTTCATGATGGCTAAATATTAATATAAAATATATTATTTTATATAATATATAAAATATATATTGCAATATAGACCCCTGCCTAAGATGAGCAAGTCCAGCAATGAACATTCTTTGACTGCATAGCTGAGCTAGGCAGGATTGCTGTTCAGTCACCCGGAATTAAGAGATACAAAGAGTCTTCCATAATAAAACTAAACAAACAAAGCCTTGTAGACTACCCAGATATTGTAGAAAACACTCCAAATTTCTAGAACACTTAACCAAGAGGAGTATCACAAAAGCAAAAGATAAAGAAGGAGCAAGAATGTCTAAAAATTAGGGTACCCTTCCCCAAAACAGTTGCTTTTCTAACCAATGTGACAAGAAACGTATGTTATTATTATTTGTCATTTATTAACAACTTTTCTACCTATACAATGCCCATGGCAGCTTACGGTGATTAAAAATACAAATGATAAAATATAAGAATAAAAACAATGAAAGCAAACTGAAAGCAAAATTAAAATAAATGTCATTAGAAACAATTCAATTAGCAATTATAAGTTTGGGGAAAGGGATGTGTTTTATCATTTTCCTTCCTAACTATTAGAAAAGTGATAGCCAACCATTCTCCCTAGCCTGCGGACCACAAGAGAAAGCCATTTTCACATGCTAGATAGCCAAATTTCCAGCAGCAAGGGACATCTTCAAAAGGGTCATTCCGGCTGATATAAGTAACCAGGCAGGTTCAAAGCAGAAGAAAACAGTTTTCATATTTTTAAACAGCAGGTCCCTAGTCTAAGGAGAAGAAAGGCGGGGGGGGGGGAGAGTTCTCACAGTGATGATCTTCAATAATCCTTTTCTAACTCAGGATCTAAATATGTAAAGAATTCTGCATGCAGCTGAATGTTCAATAATTTTTTCCTCCATATTTAGCGATAGACATTGGCTTTCCCCTCTAAAAATTGACTTTTACTTGAATGTTTAATGCATAAAGTTTGAGCTAAGAAGTATTAAAGTGATCTCTTTGTAAAGTTCCAGGCTATCATCCAATCCTTTAACCCAATGTACATACATATATAATCCTCTGTTATCTATTTGGGTCACTTACTTTTTTAAACACTTCTTAACTTTTAATCCTGTCAGTGTTAATGTCTTTGGATGTCCAAGTCTAATTGTTTAATATGATTGTAAATCTGAAATCTTCTCTAATAATGTTTAATGACCTTTTCTGTGATCTCCATTAAATGCATTCTGCATCAAGATCTTTCATAGTTGGTTTCAATTTTTATATGTCATCATATTATAGAGCTGTGCATCATTTTTATAATATATGAATAATTAAAGGGGAGTTTTATTTTAAATGGGAGGGAATGAAATTACCCTTTAATTAGATTTTTAAAAATGATCTTATCTTTAATCTACTATGGAACTTTATTTAAAAGAAATGTCATTAGAGTGTCCAGTTACTTACTTCACTGCTGATTGGCCCATAGCTGTGTCCCGAGGAATCTGGTTCTTCTAAATACAGAGTGTAAAAGTGTGGTCTATATCAAACAGCATTAAAATTTAATATTTTACATATAAATTAAGAGAAGAGTGAAAATATTTAAATTCATAGATTTCATTAGAAACAACTGCATTAACAAATCTTGGGGTGGTTGATATAAAAATGTATATTATAGTACACATATAGATAACATATGAGGATAAAGCATGATGACCAGGAAGGCTCCTGAGTCAAGCAACTTCTCACTAAATGGCCTTAAGCAAATCATACTCTCTCAAACTCAGCCCACAATTTGAATAGTAGTAGTAGCAGCAGCAATAATAACATTAATAATAATAATTCAAAGTATCGGGACTTGCAAATTGAAGTTGAGTGACTATGGAAAAAGAAATTGTCTGTTGTCCCAATTGTAATTGGAGCCCTTGGAGCAATACCTAAAGGGCTACCTCGTTATTTGGAAATTCTAAATTTATCAGACTTGAACATTTTGATTTTACAAAAAAACCACCTTACTCGGAACAGCTTATATCCTCCAATTAACAGTTCCTAGGTCCTTGGTTAGGACTCGAGCTGTTGAGCTACCAACCAGCCCCAAAGGCTGTGAATCTCACCAAAGATTAACCAGTAATAATAATAATAATTAACAGTTCCTAGGTCCTTGGTTAGGACTCGAGCTGTTGAGCTACCAACCAGCCCCAAAGGCTGTGAATCTCACCAAAGATTAACCAAATAATAAAAATAATATCAGTATATTAAAATACAGCAGGTATGAGTGTTACAAGGATTTAAAGTATGCACATGAAGCATTCTGAACAGTTGAAAGCACTTTGAAAATGTTACCTATAGTGAAACCTCAGTTTAAAGGAATTTAATTCAATAGATTTCAGATTCAATAGATAAAATTTCCACTGCAATTACAGTTGAATTATGACATCATGCTATATGACATTTTGTCCAGGCTAACAGATAAATGGGAATAATAGATACTCTTTTCACCGAACTGAACCATTAACATGAAGTAATCATGATGTATTATATTACTCCACATTCATGCTATTTCAGTATAAACTTTTATGAGCCCTTTAATATATTTTTGACGCAAACTTCCCAACATCCACAAGACAAGACAAATGATGCCAATTCAACACAGCAGTTACTATTTGCCTTTCAGTTATTTCATACATTGCTTTGAGATGGCAATTTACTTGCCTTTCTTCTTCTGGTAATTGGAGCCATCTAAGAAATGTGATTACTCTTTCTTCAAATGGTATTGATCTAAAGATAAAATGTCAACAAAACATAGAGACTTATATGTGACATTTGGCTTAGGGCAGCTGTCATTGATTTATTAAATCTGAACATAAAGATCCAGCATATTCTAAAAATCCAGAAAATGGGTCATTATAGATCAGGATTGGAATGTTGTAACAATTATTACTTAGGTACTTTGAAATCAGGCAAGTTTTATGAATTCCCAAATTAACCGAGACAGTTCATTTGGAGCTACCATATCTGCCACTGCAAAAATGTGGATAGTCACTAGATGGCAGTAACTCTCTGATCAGCTGAATATTGTACACTGCAGCTTTTAGCTAAGAGATTCAGAAAAGAATAAGAAGATATTTGCCATAGCATGGTTAGCTAATTGCTTTCTTTGCCTACTATTTTTGATTAGAAGAAATATTTTCATGCATATCTTTGAAAACTAATTGGATTATTATGAAAATATTCAGAATATTTTAAAGATCAAAATTTTATAAAACAAGAGGGGCTTTTTAACTGCAGAAATATCTGCTTAGCATTTTCAGAGATGTGCTTGGAAATGCATATTTAGGACACATATAATTCTAGAGATATTCTATAATTACAGCAATTCTGTATGAATGCTTGTAGCTTTACAAGCAAATACAATGTTAATTCTGGTGAAACTATTAATGAGGTTAAAATAAATTCTTGAACCATAAAAAGTATGTCCTTCTTTACTGGAACATCTGGAATCAATAAAAGTTGTCTTTTTTCTTTTCCTTTTTTTAATATGTAAGGAATAACGTGGATTCAGATACAGTGGGTGAAATATCAGAAAACCTGAAAATCCAGGTTAGCGACAGATGATGGAGAAAATTTATCTATGTGGTTGAAAATAATCAATCAATCAACACACCATAAAGCTAATTGCCTCTCTTTTTCCCCGACCACCTACAAAACAAACTCAGACTTGTACTAGTAAGAAGGACATTTGAAAAGAATTACTAATTCAGAATTCTTACAGAGCCTTTCAGCATGTTGTATAATATATATGTTGTTAAGCTAATTAACACATCTTAGAAGGTCAGCAATAATTAGCATCTTAGAATCTTTGTAAAAAAATAGCAAGTGCATCACAAAATAAATCAAGCAACTTATAATTGGTATAATATCAAAATCAACAATGCATGCAATCCCACAGAGTGTGGGGCTTCCTAATAGAATAAATAAATAGAATCCATAAGATAATAAACATGAAAATGATGTGCTAATGACTGAGAGCATGACTGAAGAATTTATTATGTGCTTAAAATTTACCCATAGATTTTCTCTGAAGCAGGTTTTTAACCTTATCAACCAACTAAACCAAACCATTCACAAATTCTCACCTATTGTATAATTTGTAAAAGTTTGGAAAACTTCCATTGACATCAACATCTGAACCAGGCCAGAAAAACGAAGCAGATTTTAATCCCTGATACATTGCAGTCAGCCAAATCTGTAGAAAAAGATTTTTAAAAACCCTTGTAATTGTGAATTCTTTCTGTTGCTTTTGGAACAGTATTTGGAAAATAATTTGCTGCTTTAAAAGAATTACATGGATTTTTGCTTGCCAGTTTCCACCCACTCACCCAACCCTTCTAGGTTGCAGTCAAAAGGAATACATTTGCCCCTAACCTTATACCACTCTTCCATTGAATCTTTCATTGATTGCTTGTGTTTATAGCAATTTATTTTCCAAGGCTAAGAAGATGAGAGCTGTCTATGTTTATGATAGTGCCTCTGCTGAGTCTTTCACAAGATCTGCAATTTTATTTCTTTTAACAAGAGATATATGCTTTATTTATTTATATAATCTTGGAGAATAATTCAATATTTCCACATTCCTCTGATCAAGCCTTTTCTATTCTATACCTTATTGCATTGAGCACTCTTGATCTTGTATTTACAAAGAGCTGCTTCATTTCAGCCTTGTCTCCTGAAAGTCATGATTCCCTTTTCAAAAATAAATGGATGGTGAAATTAATAAAGTTGCCAGACATGGTGGAATTGACTGACTTGGTTAAAGAAAAGATTTTATCTAGTTTTGTTTCTACTTGGTAATCACTCTTAGATATTTTGTTTGATTGAAACTGAAACAAATGAGATTTTAACTTGGGTTTTGATGGTTAGATATGTTTATGATGACTGAGGTATTGTTTAATATGGTGCATTCTAGTTCAAAGTGTCACTAATTTATNGGAGTGCGCCTGAACTGGTAGTAAAAAAATTGGCAACCCACCTCTAGATTGGATGGATTATAAGACTCATTTCAACTCAACATCAATATTATCGTTTTAAACTGCTGTTTTCTAAAGTATGAAGTTACTGTAAGGTAGCTCCCAAGTAAAGATCTATTGAAAGGGGCTTGGTTTTCCTTTCTTGATGGAGGAAAGTGCCTTGAAAGGTTGGAGGAAAGAAGAGGAAAGAGAATATGTGGCCCTCTTGCTAAGTAAGAATCCTGTAGGATAATGAAAGAAATAAAATTAAGTTCGGCCTGAGAGAAAAATCTGAAATCTGAAAATAGAATCTCTGGTTAAAGAACCCAAAAGCAGCCTAGGTTCATTAAAAAGTTTGGAATATTGTTCTTTACCTGCATGTTTGCAAATACATTGTCTGATCCATGAAATCCACCAGTGCAATATTTGAGCTCAGATGGTATCCTGCAAAATACAGGGATTACTCCGTAACAAATAAGCCTGACATGATCAATTAAAACAAAATATCTTCTTGCCTTTCTTTTCCACACTGAGTCTTCTTGACACAATGTAAGCCCTTCTCTTCTTTGCCCCTGATTATAGAATGCTCTTTCTTAGGTCTGTTTACTAGTTTTCTATCCTTGGTGACATTCATGCCAAACTCTTTTAAGAACCAGTTATTGACCTGTGTATTTCTCTGAGTGGTTAATTATCCAACCACACATACAATAGTTCCTAGTTGGAAGATTTTGGAGCTTACATAATTGTTTGGCAGATGTTCTGTCCCACTCTACATACATACCCCCCTTGCTACTAGGTAGAACTTTTGTTAAACCTCTTCGGTTCCTAAAACCGACACTGCAAATAAAGTAAAGACACCTGAAGTCAAACAAGGTAGGACAGAAGATTGTCTGAATTCACAGATGATCACTCAAATAACTTCAGTTAAGTTAAATAACTAGTTCTTCTTCATTGTGGTCTCTATTGTTCACAGATAACAAGCTGAAGGAGAACCCGATTCTCATGAGATTCCCAAGAAGAGGACAACTGTTTCAAAAGTTGCAATTCTTAATGAGTAGAAGCCAGTCTGTAATGCTTGATAAAGGTGGAAAGTTGAGTCCATATGGGCCCCTGGCATAACGTCAGCAAGGTGATATGTGCCACTGTTGCTCTTATGGAATGAACTGCAAGCTAGAAGTGTAAGATAAGGCAGCAACAGAAATAATTTGCTATCACTTAAATAAAATAAATATGAATTAAAACAAAAATCAAAAGCTTACCGGGCAAGCTGCCACTGCTGGTCCATATAAAAATGTACAGATTCAATCCGTTTATTATTGGCATAGTGAAATCGCTTAGGAAGCATCTGCTTCAGGTATGCCTTGAAATGCTGCTCTGGGACCAAACACTGCAATGTAGAAACCACAGTAGATGGTCATATCCAACACAATGCAAAATATCTTCCTCTTTTTTCTCTGCCTTGTTGCAATCCACCCTCACAAATCTGCTTTGGACAGTACTCCAAAGAGATTTAACAGGTAGAGAAATCAGCAATGACATTTTTCTTTTCTGATTAGAGATAAATTTACCTATGTTTATTAAGATTATGCTTTCTTTTTTTCCAATAGATGGCTCACAAGAAGCAGGTAATACATAAATGACATTGTTAAAATACAATTAAATATAAGCAAACGTTTATTAAAATACAAAATGACAGCCATAATAAATAATCAATTTCTCCTTCCATATTAAGCGTCTGAAACCTGCATGCACACCTTGCCTAAATAAACATGCTGGGCCTTTACCATTTTTTAAATATAATTTTTATTGAAGAGATTTTTAACAAGATAAAAACAATACAAATATTAGAAAGGAAAGAAAGAAAATTAGTAAGTGTAATAAATAACTAAATTTTTTTTTATAAAGAAGCGTACTTCAATTTTTTTTGCAGCTGTTTACAAATGCATTTATATTTTACCCTGTCTCTCTTTTAAGGTTACATCATCTGGGCCTGTACTCTTATAGGAAAACATTTTAAGTCAAATGAAGCCTAAAAGACAAAGTTCATAGCTTGTTTTAACTTGATTTGAAGCACAAGTTGTTATCATCTGAGCTCTTCAGGTACTGCTAATATTGTAACAGCCTATGCAATGGGACAGGAACCTCAAAACTTTGCACTGATTTTTCTCTGAGACTTTCTGTAATGTCATGCAAGAAAACTGAAACACATCTGGTATTTCCCAAAATTTCATTAAATTGGACATTCTAATTCAAAATCTCACATGACATTGATTTTTTTTCCCCAGGATTTGGGGATCTTGCAAAATTTTGGGCCTATAATATTTTAAGGTATTTCTGCAAATGCTATTTTTATTACTGTACTACAGCTATTCTGAAATCCACAGGTATTTTCGTATTCACAATTTCTAGATTTAAAAATCACACTAAGACAAACCAAATCACATTATCACTTAAAATGATGGTCCTATCCAGAATTACTTTTTGTACCAAATACTGAGTCAATTTAATTTTTTCTTTCTATCTCAGAAGAAACAAACACAATTACAGCAATATAATAATATACCAAGGGAACCCCCATATCTTGATATGTCTGAAGGAGGGAAGATATATTAGATCTGAATGGCTTGACTAATTCTATAAATGATGGGGAAAATGCAGCTAATGTAGTTCACTGGGCTGGGCAACTATATTAAATCTAATCAATAAAATAAAATAAGAGTCATGACTTGGAGAAGATGTCAGTACTTACTGTAAGGTTTCTGACAAGGCCTTCATAATCAACTAGAAGAGTTAGATGAGATAATTAGTTACCTATAAGTTAAAAGAAAAATAAAGAACATCCAACTAAGTAGTGGTAGCTGAAATACTACATCACATTTCATCTTGTTTATCAGCTAATTAAAATATTCTTCTCTGCTGCATCTATTAGAAATAATTCTTTACCATACAGCAGGAACACAAGGATGTAACAGATCAGTATAGATAATGCTAAAGTAGTTTTCTGAAAATTGCCCCATGTTGAATTAATAGTTGAATTAATATTCAACATTCATAAGCTCTAAGAGATTTCTGAATGATCAATGTAATTATTAAAATAATAATAAAGTAAATTATATTATAATGTGGAATTAAAGGCCAAAACATTCTTTGCTAAGGTATTCAATACTGACGGCCTCTTCCAGACTGGTTTGCCTACACATAATGATCCCAGATCCAGACTTGCATTAGGTAAAAGCAAATAAGAATAGATGCATATTCTAAATTATAGAAAAATACGTAATTTTCCCTGAAGTATCTATATCCATGATGACGAACCTATGTCATGCGTGCCACAGGTGGCACGCAGAGCCCTTTCTGCAGGCACATCAACCGTCGCCCAAGCTCAATTCAACCACCCATGTGGGGAGGAGGGCGAGTGGGTCGCATGCACATAGGCGGAGGGCAGGGGGAGTATGGGGGTGTTTGGCGCACACCCCCATGGCCTGTTTTTGGTCCCAGGAGGCTGCAGGTACGCCTATTAGGCCCAAAACAGGACACAGGGGAGTGACGCCCACCCATGGCCCATTTTGGGGCTAGGAGGCTGCAGGGAGGGGGAACACAGGGGTGTTGCACGCACTTGCAGGGGGCACAGGGGGGTGTTGCGCGCACATTGCATTATGGGTGCGGGCATGCATGCAGGCTGGCTTTTGGCACACAATGACAAAAAGGTTAGCCGTCACTGGTCTATATAAAGGCAACAAGCAGCAATTGTCATTTTTTAAAGATATTATTTCAAAGAATATTACTGTAGATATGTATTGAAAAGATTTCAGATATCAATTGATTAATTAGTTCTCTGGAAGACTACTTCACTGCAAATGCCCAACCACTTTGAAGGTTTTCCTACTGGTAGTAAAAAAATGTGGGAATCTGGTACCTGACATTCAAATCCTGCCTTTAAACTTCTTGCTTTGCTAAGACAAAGATCAGCTATCAATATCTATTATATTGGCAAATCATAATTACAATATTTTTTTATTTGATTTGTGATCCTAAGAGATGTTTAGTATTACAGTTTGCAGGTGGTCTATGTCAAAGTTTCCAAAAGTTTATATCGTAAAACCTTTAGTGTCTCAGTAATTTCTTTACCATGATTATTAGCATCAAGTAATATAATATAATATGATATTAAACAATTAAATGATGAGGGATTAAATACAAGGTGGAGCAAATATTATAATGTTAAGAACTTTAATTGCATATTTATAATGATATGAGTATGATCAATGTAATTAATATAATTAAAATGGATAAGAGAGGAAGGATAGAAATAGAATACTTTCTAACATAAGATTGGTGTTATTAAGGTATGAAATAGAGGTAGAAATTAGAAAGGGGGAAATACTAAATATTGTTATACAACATGTTAAAATCAACAGGCAGATGAAAGTAT